AAATCTTAAATTTAATCATGAGTAAGCATGCATATTTTTGAAGTAACAGCAGGTATCGCAACAAAGTTGTTCCCAGAAGTAAAATCTGTTGCAATGCAAAAGATTTATTTTTGTGCCTGTGGGAGTCACACAACCGAATAGCGTATTGCGAAGAACAAGTTTTACTGCTGATGATAGCACGTCTTTGAGGTAGATGACAGCCAAGTCTATTGGCAAAGTTTTTGCCATTTACCACTAATGTGTTGCAAACTTCGAGGTCTTTAGCGGACAAAAACATTTTGGGTTTTATTTTAGTTTAACAAATGGCATCTATTTACGCCAGAGACAGTCAATGATTAACTAACTAAACTTTGGAGACATTAAGTGGGTGATTTTAATCATTTGATTAGAAGAGTGTAAGAAGAGAGTTCTCAAAAATTGCATTCTAAAAATTACTCACTTCAAATTTTGTTTATTAAAACTCCATTGATTAAACTTTTAATAATGTCTAAAGGTTGTTGTTGTTCTTTTTAATTTGTATACTTGGAAAACTCAATTAGAATAATTTCCGTTTCAAATTAAATATTTTCATTTGAAATGCTGAAATGTGTTTGTGTTTGGATATTTTGAAATGTATTTGATACGATTAGAATTAATTCCAAGCAACTGAACTGTCTTATACATTGATTAAATTAATTGCCATTAAATTATTCAAACTCTGTGTAATGGTCTATTGGGTTTGGAAAGTAGGCAATGGCTAGAAATAAAATTGGATGAAATGTGCATATTTTTTGGAAAATACGACAAATACAAAATAAATTCTTAGGTCATTTATTATTTCACATAAAAATTACAATACCTATTTATAACCAGTGAGCGGAGCAGTATAGTCGGACGGGGCCGACCATACGATACCCTACACAACTACCAAGGAACTCAAATTTTCGTGATATTTTTTCACCCTCTTGCCCGATTAGAGGTAAAGAGCACCTCTTCCTCACACTGACATATTTTCCGAATATTACGAGTATTCAGTACAGCTATTGTCCAGATTCTCTTCACCGTGGGTTGAGTTGTGAGTTTCGACTTTCATTTGTGGTCTATAGATCGACTCGAAAATATCACAAAAAATTAAGTTTTCGGTCCACTTCATTCCAAAATTATTATCTGATCATCTCCGAAATTATAGGCGTTGTCCTTGACCATAACTTGAACCTCATGGAACATTTGAAATCGATCAGCGCTATAGTTCCGCTCCCTAGAGTGATAATGGGTTACTAAATAATATACGAATACGGAGATACCTGTAAATATTTAGGTGTAACTCCCACATCCGAGCACGTACAACAATATAATTGGTATTAATTTGAAGGTCAACCACTCCTCTTGGATATACTATCAACTTTTTGGGTCTATGTCCTTTAGGAATAAATATATACGCCATAGAATCCAAATTTTGTCATTTATCACACAAAAGTCAGGGTCCATTTGACCCGCTAAATATTGACCGATCTTTGTCAAATCAGGCAAGTTTATTCTTTGGCCCGACCCCCTTCTCCATGTAAAATTTCACGATGTTCGGGCCATAATTGCGACTTCTGAAGCGACCAGAAAAACCGACAAAAATTTAGTAGTTGGTCCATTTCATCCGATCTTTACCAAAAACAATAGGGGTCTTCATTGGTCAGAACCCATGCAACACGCAAAATTTCGTAAAGATTGGTCCATAACTGTGGCCTGTATCGTGTTTACAAATTATAATGGACAGACGGACGGACGGACGGACACACATGTCTAGATCGACTCAGCTAGTCGAGATATGACGATAGGTATACTTAAAGGTGGGTCTAGGACCAATATTTCGCGGCGTTACAAACTCTTGGGGCTGCACAAAGCTATAATACCCTGACAACATTGTTGTGTAGGGTATAAAAAATTCCTTACGGGAACCCTCCCCCCCCTGTTTTTTGTAACTAAAGAAAAGTCCTTATTTTTGATGGCGAGCATGATGACTCCTCAATGGAACATCGAAATCCGAAAATTCCAACGGTGTTAGAAAGAGTACATGTCTGGCTCTCGTATGAACTAGGATTATTGACTTCGCTCTAAAATTAACAAAATGGCGGACCTTTAAAAAAATATTTTTGGGAAATCGCCGATTTTTGACCAAAAACCAAGTTAAAAAATAAGGAAGATTTTCACCGATTGGCTTTATACTAGTTCTTCATCGATTGGCTTTATACTAGTTCATACGATAGCTATACACTTACAGAGAAACGTGTAAAAATTTGTAATCGATTGGGTTATTAGTTTTTGAGTTATCGTGCCCGCCATTCGTTTAGAGAAAAACGCGTTTAAAGCCCTTTAGCCGTCACTTGATCCTGTCGGAATAAATCGGCTATATCTTCAAGAGTTCTTGAGATATTCACTTGAATAAGTGTAGATTCGAATTCTTGAATTAGTGTAGATTCGAATTATGTCAAAAAAAATTTTTTACCCTGAGAATGGGGGGTCCCCTTAAAAGATATTTTTTTTAAAATCCACGTCTTTGTGTGGTTTGATTTTTTTTAAATCCCCGCCTTGATGTTTAAAATATAGTTTTTTTTAAAATCTATATATTTTTTTAAAAAAGTTCATATTTCCCTCCTCTTCGAAGTGTCCTTCTGATGTGCAACAAATATGTTCCCAGCTCATTGCACCTGACAAATTTATGGATTATCACTCCATCACATAAAACACGAAACTAATATTTTAAACTGTCAAAGATTTTCTTTTTTCAATTTAACAAACAAATTTATTCAATTTTAATCCCAGTTATAATATCATCATCAGCATCCTTATGCATACATGAATGACCCAGGGAAAAGGGCGAGCAAATAAACCATTTATCAAATTCCCGTTAGAACTTTGTGATTGAGTTCAAGCCATAGTGGAGACAAAAAAAAAACAAAATCTGTAAAAAGTTCAACACTTAGTCAACCGCACGCAGCAGCATCTGCATGGTGTTCATAGTCGTCGTCATCATCATCATCATCCTTAGTATCATATGGGAAACTTCTATTCCATATTGGCTAAGGGACACAATTTTTTGTTTCGAATCCCACACACACACGTACATATATTCATAATGCAAAGAAAATGGGGGAAAATTACAATTCTTTTTTGGATATTGCATCACACATAACTTCATCATAGTGGATTTCCTTCTCATGCACGTTTGTTTTATGATTACGTATATTTCTTGCGTATATCGAATGGCTAAAAAAATATATGTATATATATATATATATTTTTTTTTTTTGGATATGGGCCCTAACCCTATTGAAGTGGAAAAAATTTAGATATAGCTCCCTAATATATATTTTCGTCCGATTTATGGTAAATGGTGCACCTAAATATATTTCGATTTGCACGCAATTTGGCACAGCGTTTCGTGAAAATCGGCTCAGATTTAGATATAGCTCCCATATATATTTTCGTCCGATTTAAGGTAAATGGGCCACCAAAGTCCCCATATATATTTCGATTTGGCACAGTGTAATGAATTAGGTCTAGAATGATATGTGCTAAGTTTCGTGAAAATCGGTTCAGATTTAGATATAGCTACCATATATATTTTCGTCCGATTTAAGGTAAATGGTCCCTACATATCTTTCGATACGCACGAAATTTGGCACAGCGTAATGAATTAGGTCTAGAATGATGTGTATTAAGTTTCGTGAAAATCGTTTCAGATTTAGATATAGCTCCCAAATATATTTTCGTCTGATTTAATGTAAATGGTGTACCAAAGTCCCTATATATCTTTCGATTTGCACGAAATTTGGCACAGCGTAATGAATTAGGTCCAGAATGATGTGTGCTAAGTTTCGTGAAAATCGGTTCAGAATTAGATATAGCTCCCATATATATTTCCGTCCGATTTAATGTAAATGGTGTACCAAAGTCCCTAAATATATTTCGATTTGCACGAATTTAAGCACTGCGTACTGAATTGAGCCTAGAATGATGTGTGCTAAGTTTCGGGAATATCGGTTCAGATTTAGATATAGCTCCCATATATATTTTCTTCCGATTTAAGGCAAATGGTGCACCAAATTCCCTAAATATCTTTCGATATGCACGAAATTTGGCACAGCGTAATGAATTAGGTATAGAATGAAGTGTATTAAGTTTCCTGAAAATCGGTTCAGATTTAGATATAGCTCTCATATATATTTTCGTCCGATTTAATGTAAATAGTGCACCAAAGTCCCTATATATCTTTCGATTTGCACGAAATTTGGCATAGCGTAATGAATAAGGTCTAGAATGATGTGTGTTAAGTTTCCTTAAATCGGTTCAGATTTAGATATAACTTCTATATCTGACCAAATCAAAAATTTTAGCATCGGTTGCAGAATGACATGTTTATGGGTCCAATATCATTTTACTGGTCCTTTAAAAATTCGCATTAAAAATATTTAAATAGAGTCCTTAAAAAATATTTAAAAATATATATATATCAGTCCCTGAATTTTTTTTAATCCAGGCCTCCATTAGTACCTAAAAAATATTTGTTTAAGATCAACCCTAATTTGGTTTTAAATCATCGTTTATGGTCGGGCTGTGTGGCGTATAATGAATACAATATTATAATTGCGTTTGTTAATCATACGCAATAGTGTCTATTTGTACATAGCAATTCATGCATAAATAATAAATAATATTAATCATACGCAAACGAATAAAATTATCATCTACTAAAAAACCAGCAACAGCAAAGTAATTAATGCATAACTAATAAAACCATAAACATTTCTCAATTAACATTTTAATTCTCATAATCAACTGAATCGAAAAAGTTCTAAGTACCGACATTTCAATGGCTTTTATTCTCCTGTTTATACACCATGACGTTTTATTTTATCTGTTCCATCGGTTTTCTATTATTATTTTTTTACATTATCATCCTCATTATTTTTGATTTGTTTTTATTGTTTTATTATTATTATTATCGTGGTAGCAAAGTTCTCCAGGTTATGACGCCACCACATTTCGTTGTAGCATGGAATGTGCGAATAACTCAGCTACTGCGTCGTTCGCAGCGTGAAAAGTTTGTATAACAAAAAAAAACAGTTCTATGGTATTCGAATACCAATTCCCCTGTAACTCCTTTAACTTCTTGTCAGTTCCTTGTAGCACTAGAAAAAAGTAATATTTTTTGCCATAATTGTTTTAAACACAAACATTTGTTGTTGTTGTTGTTGTTGTTGTTGTGGAAAGCCACAACCAACCACCAGCAAAAAGAAAACCAGTAAGGAAAGTAGTTAAGTCGGACTGGGCCGACTATATGACACCCTTCACCACTTTGGGTATATTCTACAAAGTCTTCTAACATGCGTCGCCTTTTCGAAAGAACATTGACATGAAATTGAACGAAAGTTATAAGGCACACCATTTAAGGACTATGTCTAAAACTGAACCGATATTCACTGAACTTTACACACATCATTCTAGACTTAATTCAGTGCGATATACAAAATTTCGAGCAAATCGAAGTATATTTGGGGGCTTTGCTTCACCATTTACATTAAATCGGACGAAATATATATGTGGAAGCTATATCTAAATCTGAACCGATTGCCACGAAACTTAGCACACATCATTCTGAACCTAATTCAGTACGCTCTGTCATATTTCGTTCAAATCGAAAGATATTTAGGGACTTTGGCACACCATTTACCTTAAATCGGACGGAAATATATATGGGAGCTATATATATACCACACATCTGACTAAATTCAGTATTTTCAGACTTCGTGCAAACGAAAGATTGTCACACATCGTTTTGGACCTAATTCAGTACGCTATGCCAAATGTCCTGCAAATCGAAATATATTTAGGGACGTTGGCGCACCATTTACCTTAAATCGGACGAAAATATATATGGGAGCTATATCGAAATCTGAACCGATTTTCCCGAAACATAGCACACATCATTCTGAACCCAATTCAGTACCCTATGCCAAATTTCGTGCAAATCGAAAGATATATATGGACTTTGGTGCCCCATTTACCTTAAATCGGACGAAAATGTATATGGGAGCTATATCTAAATTTTAACCGATTTTCACGAAACTTAGCACACATCATTCTGGACCCAATTCAGTACCCTATGCCAAATTTCGTGCAAATCGAAAGATATATATGGACTTTGGTGCCCCATTTACCTTAAATCGGACGAAAATGTATATGGGAGCTATATCTAAATTTTAACCGATTTTCACGAAACTTAGCACACATCATTCTGAACCTAATTCAGTACTCTGTACCAAATTTCGTGCAAATCGAAAAATATATAGGGACCTTGCTGCCCTTTTACCTTAAATCGGACGAAAATATATGGGAGCTATATTTAAATCTGAACCGATTTTTTCCAATTTCAAACGGGGTCGTCCTTGGGCCAAATAAGTGACTTGCGCCAAATTTCATCCAATTTGGATCATAAATGCGACCTGTACTTTTTTTTACAATTTAACATGGACAGATGTAAATCGACTTAAAAAGTGATTCTATCTCGTTTCCTTTTGCCTGTTACAAACATATGCTCAAGGACATAATACACTGTACCATAGTATGGTGAAGGGTATAAAAACCCGCGCGTACATTGATCCTAAAAAAAATATATATAAAAAAAACACGCCTACATTGATCCTCAAACAATATTTTAAAACCAGTGAGCGGAGCAGTATAGTCGGACGAGGCCGACCATACGATACCCAACACAACTACCACTGAACTATAACCTTCTGCGGATGTTTATTCCGAGCCTGGGCAATATTTGGTGATATTTGCCCCGACTTTCCCGACTACAGGTCAACAGCACATCTACCTTACACTGAAATATTTTCCGAATATTACTAATATTCAGTACAGCCCTTCTAATTACTTGTCCAGGTTTCCTTTACGGTGGGTTGAGTTTTGATGTTCAGCTTATATTCGACTAGAAAACACACAAAGAAATTAATTTTTCGGACCATTTCATCGCACAATTTTATTCTGATCATCACCTAGACCATAATTGGAACTTCATGGAAAATTTCAAAGCGATCAGCGCTATATTTCGGCCCTCTAATGTGGTAATGGGTTACTAAATAATATCTGAATACGTAAGCACCTGTAAATATTTGAGTGTAACTCCTGCATCCGAGTACATACGAAAATGTAATCGGAATCATTTTGAAGGTCAACCATTCCTCTTGGATATACTATCAACTTCGCAAGTCTATATGCTTCACCTGACTTTTGTGTCATTTTCACACAAAAGTCAGATTCCATTTGACCCGTTAAATATTGACCGATCTTTGTCAAAGCAGGCATGCATATTCTCTGGCCCAATCCGCTTCTCCATGTAAAATTTCGCGATGTGCGGGTCATATTTTCGGCCTCTAGAGCGACAAGAAAAACCGACAAAAATTAAATATTTGGTCTATACCAAAAAAACAATAAGGGTCTTCATTGGCCAAAACCCTTCCTACATGCAAAATTTCGTGAAGATTGGTCCATAACTGTGGTCTGTATCGTGTTTCCAAATTATGATGGACAGACGGACGGACTGACTCACATGTCTAGATCGACTCAGCTAGTCGAGATAAGATGATCGGTATAGTTAAAAGTGGTGTAGGACCAATATTTCGCGGCGTTACTAACTCTTGGGGCTGCACAAAGCTATAATACCCTGATATTGTATAAATATCCAAGACTGTATTGAGTTCTTTTAAAAAATCCTCGGCCTTAAAAATAGTTTTAAAAATTAACCCTCTGTAATGACCCTTGACAAAATATTTTTTTTTTTTAAACTCCGCATTTTTTATGATCTTCGATAGTTTTTTTTAGTTTTTTGTTTTTTTTCGCAACATTAATTGACCTATTCTTTTCTTCTCATTTCATTTGAATTTATTAACCACATAACCTATCTACCTACCTACCTACCTAACCCGTATTCGTATTCACATGTATGTATGGTTGTTGATTGATCGAACCCCCATCCCACACTTCTGAAAAAAAAATATCAAACTAAGGAAATCATTGTTTCACTATGTCAAAATATGGTAAGAGAAAATATAAATAATTCGAGCATCTCATATTCACAATTTCCATAGTTAGCCGAACTAGCGGATATATTTTACATAGCAACTCAAAACACTGTAGAATTTTTTTTAGTATTGTTATTTTAATGCATTGTAGTTAGATTTGAATTTGAAACATTACTGTAAAATTTTAAATCCAAAACAAAAGTAGTTTGAATATTTTCACAATAAGATCTAAATTTAAGGTCGTATACACAAAGGCTCCAGTGTATCTGAGCCTGTAGAAAACTGTAGTTTTATTTTATGAAATCTTAAAAAAAAAACATTTATTTTTTATTATCTTTTTCAGTGCCCCCAAAAACTCCAAACCCTGGCTGAGTTCGGGTAAGCTGAGTTGTCGCGGCAGCATGTCACCCGGACCCTTGGAAGCGGTATTTTTTGGTCCACAACCTGTTAGTACAACAAAATGTAGCGGAGGTCCGGCGGGAAGACTTCTTCAATCACGACAATTACATCAAGAAATATGTAGTCTACTTTTAGGCGCTATTGAACAACTGAAAATAGCCCTGAACGAATTCAGCACCGTACTCCCACCGAATATCAATACACAAATCGGTTCACCACCATTTCGAGAAAACGATACCAACGATCGATTGCATAAACTATTGGAACAGGCTAAGGTGGGTAAAAAATGAGGATCCGAGGATTTTCTTCTATAGAAAAAATCGCCTGGACATTTTTGAAAAACAAATGTAAATATGTTTCCCTCTCTTTTTTCCAGACTCACGATTCCGAAGAAGATTTTACGATACGAGCCAATTCCGATATAGCACAACTCTGTGCCGAATGCATAATGTTTTGGCGACGTGTCCTGATAGCCTCCACCCAGCCTTCGGTACACACACTGCTGGCGAAAAAACATCACATCCTGAGGGTGAGACGTTTCTCCGAAGGATTCTTTGTGATGGAAAATCCTCGACACACTGCTGCCGGCTGTTACGATAGCAACTATCAAAATTATGTGGCCATATCGGAAATGGCGCGACGAAGTCGTTACATGCAATCACTGCCTCCCTTACCGGTCCATTGCACACCCATTGATGGTGATACGAATTCAATGCCTTTGATATTTGAAGATCGTTATGTGGAACCGAATAAATTCACAAGAAAGCGTACTGGGTCTGAGCCGCATTTAAATGTCAATGGGAAAAATAAAACCGGCACAGCGACAGATAAGGGGGTAGCCACCCCAAATGGTCGGGCTGCCTCGGCCTCAAGTGGCAAAGAATGTTCTTGTGGTGCGGCAAGTTTTGATTATCCTCCGCCGAGTAAAACAAATGGTGTGCCGGCTGCGGCTGGAGTGTTGACACCCCGATTTGCCTTGGGTGGTGAAATTTTACAAGCCAGCCTGACCATTGCCCCCACGGCTGCCTCCAAAGGCCCATCGGGTAGTTCTCTAAATCATCGCTACATGTCAAGACATTCGGTAAATGGCCTCTTGGATGAAATCGATAGTGGCCTGGATCCCAGCATGCAGGAATTTTGTGAGGTTGGCAGTGCAGGCACCTTACCAGCTAGACACAGCAAATCTTTAGATCAATTGGATGGTACAGTCCACAGCACCCCCTCCTTGAGGACATATCACAATACCATGTCCGGTTATCCGGCCAAGTTATCAGAAAGTGAAATAAATCACTTGAGTGGAGGTTATGTTCCCGAGCTGCAGGAGAAAACCTTTAAAGGCTTTGCTGGACTGAATGGAAATCGTGGTGGCCAGAGTCACAAGCCCAAGGTCCAGGCTGAGGATTTAATGCGTAACATCAATGAGTTCCGCATGAAATATAAAAATTTTGAAGATCCCTGTGTTACAACTAATGGTCCCGTGGCCATGCATTACAAGACCTATGGAGCCAATACCTTGGGCCGTCCGGGAAATGTGGAGGCCAGCAAATATGACTATCTACATGAAATCAAAATGTTGAACCCACCCAAGAAGTTGGCGGACAAACCGAATTCCTATTACAACAGCCTGCCCAAGACCATGGTCAATGGTGAGATTGTGCCCCGTAATTCTTATCCACCCATTAAAACACAAAATGGCATGGCACCACCACCATCTCAGACGCCATCACTACCACCACCATCAGCATCAGCATCCGCATCAACTGAACCCCAGTCCATAGTTTGGCCACAACAAATCGCTATACCCCGCAGTAGTTCTTCCCAAGCCCTTAGACAAGCGGCCAATAATAATAATGGGCTGCCCGCCAGCAATCATGATGTAGAACCAAATAGTACCATACCCCGTTCCGTGGAAATTGCCCGAGTCAGGGTATCTGATCTCAAGGAAATGCTGAAAAATGGCACCCTGCGCAAAGAGTCGAGCAGTTCGGAAAGTGATATACCCTCCAAGGTGAAAAAGGCCAAGGCCGAACAGAAAATGCTTTCGTCGAATAGTGTGCCCTTCAGGCTGGATAGCGCTTCGGGCCAGGAACAGGAACAGACCACAAGTGGCTTCAGTGAATCGCTGCCGAATTTGGTGCCACCACCACAGTTCACCACAGAGGCAGTGATCAGCGACTCCACCTCATCGTTGAGTGAGGAAAGCGGCTGGGTTTCGAGTAGACGTAGCTCCATTGTACCCTCCAGTCCGGAAACTATACTCAAACAACAACAGACCAAAGAGAGAAATGAATTGGAGACCCGATTGAATGGGGAACAGCTGAGGTTGAAGCTGCAAAAGCTATTGGAGCAACAAAATAAAAATAAAAAACTAAAGGAGTCCAGGGGGCTGATGAAAAATGGCCCAGCCTCGAACACCATACCCATGGCGGATGGCCTTATGCTGCCGCATAAAAAAATCTCCTCTGTCACGGTGAAAATTAAACCGGAACGTTTACGCTCCGAACTGAGGCGAAATTTACGCAATCAACCCTATAATGAATCCACCGAGGTAGAGGATTCGGATTTCTCCCTAATGCAAAGTCAAAGGCGGGAACGATATCGTAAAACGGAAAAATCGAAATCGGATTTTGATTTGACCATCATTAAGGAGAGCAACAGTGGTACGGCCACAATGGCCTTGACAAATGTGCGGGTACCACCGCCACAACAATTTCAGGATGATCTGCTGCCTCCCGATGAGTTTCGGGATCCTCCCCTTAATCTTCAGCAGCAGGTCAGGGAGAAACAAAACAAAAAATCAGAATTCATTACAAACAGGAATACGGATAAGGATTCGCAATTCGGCAAAATCTCCAGCAAATCGAATAGTGTTGTGGCAACAACAAATTATGTCACCATGACCCCAGCCCACAAATCGGATACCTATCAAAGTCTAACACAACACTCCTCACCCTCATCGCTGATACTGCCGCCAGCGCCTCCACCTCCGCTCAAGGAAATACCGCCCCATGGCCACCTGAACTTGAGGCAACCCATTGTGGCCATAGATAATCCCGTCTATCACATTTACGAGTCCATGAAACCCATTACACCCGGTAGTATATTCGGCAATAAGCCAGTGGTGAGGTCCCACAGCATTGTGGAAATGAAACGGCCCAAAGATTTTGGAAATGCCTCTTCAATGGTCACCACAGCAACGGCGACAATGAAAAATTCACAAATCATCATTAACAACAACAACAGTAGTAGTAGCAAATCGAATCGTTCCACACCCTCCAACAATTCCAATTCAAATCCCAAGCTAGGTCTTAATATTAATGCGAACACACATTCACACCCCGCATCTCAAGATAACGGTAACGAAGATGAGAACAAAGAAAATTCCAATTCTTCTTCATCGACAGCAGCGACAGGACATCATCACCATTGTAATAATACGACCTCGGCGGCGGCTTCCTCCTCCTCCAATTCTGTGGTACGATCCTCCAGCACCAAATCGTCCTCGAAACATCACAAAAATCAAAACGGCCACAGCAACTCCAAGGGCTCCGAAGCCAACAACATATCTCTGATGGAATTCGAAAAATATCGCGAAGAATTTCGCAAACAATTGAAATACAACGGCAGCATTTATTCGGACTTTCCGAAACTCTCCTCGGAATTGCCTTATTTTTATATCAGCGACGAGTATCGTGCCTTCTCACCGAACGGCATGCATTTAATTATCTGTGTTCATGGGCTGGATGGCAATTCGGCCGATTTGCGTTTGGTGCGCACCTATTTGGAATTGGGTCTGCCCGGTGCCAATTTGGAATTCCTTATGTCCGAACGTAATCAGGGTGATACGTTTTCGGATTTCGATACCATGACTGATAGGTGAGGAGGGGGAACTTCAAATATTTTTTGGAAAAGAAAAATAATTCTAATCAAAAATTTCTTTTCAGACTGGTTGCTGAAATTCTCTATCATATCGAAACCTGTGGACTCAATCCGACACGCATTTCATTCGTCGCACATTCTTTGGGAACAATTATTGTACGCAGCGCCCTGGCAAGGCCCCAAATGCGTTCACTATTGCCACGACTGCACACATTTTTATCATTATCGGGACCGCATTTGGGTACGCTATATAATACCAGCGGACTGGTCAATATGGGTGAGTAAACACAAAGAAAACTATACTTTTCAATGGTCTGTTAGTGAAAAAATCCATATCCTCCACCTAGGTTAATTCGTTGTAGTCTGGGTTGAGTATGTTTCGACGATGTTCTGAACACAAAAGTTAAGCATCATTAGTCCCCTGGACCATTGAGTTTTTTTTACTTTGTTGCTCCAAATTTTTTTGCAAATTTTTTATTGTTTCGGGACTGGCGGCCTACTCTTTCCTCACACAGTGATGAGGAGGAATCACTTATCACCGCTTCAGTGGTGAATTGTGGTGGTGACACCAAATTCGACAACGATTCACTGAAACCACTTGTGGTCTGCTCTTGTTCCTGAGCCGATGCACTATCCAGCCTGAAGGGCAAACTATTCGACGATATCATTTTCTGATCGACCTTGGCCTTTTCACCTTGGAGAGTATATCACATTCCGAACTGCTAGGCTCGGTGCGCAGGGTGCTTTCAGCATTTTCTTTAGATCGAATACTCTAACCCGAGTAATTTCCACAGAACGGGGTTTAGTACTATTTGATACAACATCAGGCGGGCAACTCATTATTAGTCTATGAGCCTGGAAATAACTACGAGGGGTATAGGGATTTGTTGTGACCAAACTATGGACTGACGATCACTTGATAAAGCGGATGCAGAAGTCTTCATAGACGAGTTTAAGGTTTGCCTTAAGCTGAAAATCTGGCTCTTCTTCATAGAAGAGCTGAAGGTCCGTTTCTTCTTCATAGAAGAGGTTAAGGTCTGCTTCTTCTTCATGGAAGAGCTGAAGGTCTAATTCTTCTTCACAGAAGAGATGAAGGTATGCCTCTTCTTCATAGAAGAGCTGAAGGTCCACTTCTTTTTCATAGCATATTTGAAAATGTGTCCCTTCTTCATACAAGAGCTGAAGGTCTGACTCTTCTTCATAGAAGGCTGAAGGTTCGCTTCTTCTTCATAGAAGAGGTGAATGTCTGCCTCTTCTTCATAGAAGAGGTGAAGGTCTGCTTATTCGTCATAAAAGAGCTGAAGGCCCGCTTCTTCTTCATAGAAGAGTTAAAGGTCTGCCTCTTCTTCATAGAAGATCTGAAGGCCAGCTTCTTCTTCATAGAGTAGCTGAAGGTCTGATTAATAGAACAGCTGCATGTCTTATTCTTCTTAACATAAGAGCTGAAGGTATTTTTCATAGAAGAGCTGAAGGTCCGCTTCTTCTTCATAGAGGATTTGAAGATCTGCCTCTTCATCTTAAAAGAGCAGAATACCAGCCTCTTCTTTATATTAAAAGACCAAAAGTGCTGGTTGTTGTAGCAGCCCTATTGCTTTTACACAATGGGCTGAGATGACAGACGTTGGCCGAGAAAGACTCGGGTCGTTTCGTATCGTAGGCCCCACTGTCGTGTCGTGACTACCACCATCGGATGCAGATAGTGGTGGTGCCATGCCATTTTGTATTTTAATGGGTGGATAAGAATTACGGGACATCATCTTATCATTGACGGGGCAGGCTATGGTAATAGACATTTGGTTTGTCCGCCAACTACTTGGGTGGGCTCATATTTGCTGGCCGGCCCAAGGTTTTGGCTGCATAGGCCTTGTAATGCATGGCCACCGTAACACATGAGTGCTCCAAATTTTATATTTCGTACGGAACTCATTGATGTTACGCATTAAATCCGCAGTCTGGACTTTGGACTGGTGACTTTGGCTACCACGATTACAATTCAGTCCCGCAAGTTCTTTAAAGGTTTTCTCCATTAGCTCGGGAGCATAACCTCCACTCAAGTGATTTATTTCACTTTCTGATAACTTGGCCGGATAACCGGACATTGTGTTGTGATTTGTCCTCGAGGAGGGGGTGTTGTGGACGTACCATCCAATGGATCCAGAGATTTACTGTGTCCAGCTGGTAAGGTGACCGCCCTACCTACCTTACCAAATTTCTGCATGTTGGGATCCAGGTCACTATCGATTTCATCCAAGAGGCCATTTACCGAATGTCTTGACATGTAGCGATGATTTAGAGAACTACCCGATGGGTCTTTGGAGGCAATTGTGGGGGCAATGGTCAGGCTGGCTTGTAAAATTTCACCACATAAGGCAAAACGGGGTGTTAACACCGCCGCCACACCATTTGTTTATGCCGCCGAATAATCAAAACTTGCCGCATCACAAAAACATCCTTTGCCACTTGAGGCCGAAGCAGCCCGCCTATTGGGTGTGGTCACTCCCTTATCTGTCGCTGTGCTGGTTTTATTTTTTCCATTGACATTTAAATGCGACTCGAACCCAGTACGTTTTCGTGTAAATTTATTCGGTTCCACATAACGATCTTCAAATATTAAAGGCTTTGAATTCGCATCACCATCAATGGAGGTGCAATGGACCCGTCAAAGAGGTCAGTTATTGCATGTAACGACTTCTTCGGGCCATTTCCAAAATAGTCGCATAAGTTTCAAGTGTGGGTTTCTACAAAATGTTCTTTTAGAAATACACCGCGGTGTTGGTCATAAAGATATAATAATCTAAAAATCCGTGCCTGTGTTGGTCCCTGAAAAAATATTTGTTAAAAAAATCGAGGCCGGTGTGGTGCTTCCTTTAAAATATGTTCCATAAAAAATTTCTACATTTTTGGTTTTCCTCTTTTTGGTAATTCTAGGTATGTGGTTCATGCAGAAATGGAAAAAATCCGGCTCTCTGTTGCAGCTGTGTATGCGTGATACAAGCGATATGCGCAAAAGTTTCCTATATCGCCTGAGTCAGCGTAGCAATCTACATCATTTCAAGAATATACTCCTGTGTGGTTCAAGTCAAGATCGTTATGTTCCGGCACATTCGGCACGCCTCGAACTGTGTAAGGCTGCAATTAGAGATAATTCTAATTTAGGTGTCATATATAGGTAAGTCCAAATACAAAATTACGGAGAACTCATACCTTAATAATATATTTCCGAACTATATATTCACAGGGAAATGGTGAATAATATTATTGCACCGATTTTGGCCAGACCTGAACTGACGCTAACCCGTTATGATGTCCATCACGCCCTGCCGCATACCGCCAACACCCTTATCGGTAGAGCTGCCCACATTGCTGTTTTGGATTCGGAATTGTTTATAGAGAAATTCCTATTGATAGCCGGTCTAAAATATTTTAGTTAGCGAATTTAAAGGGGCCGTCACAAATCTGAAACTTTAAAAATAAGAAAATATTAAAAAAGGAAATCAAAAAAAAAGAAAATTTAACAAAAAAAGAAATTAGCACGGAATAGTTTAACAGGGTAATTTTTAAAACATAAATCAAAAACCGTAGTCCTGCGTTAAGAGGACACATTTTTAATTGAACTAATGGTAAATTGAAAAGAATTGATTTTTTTATATATTATATTCAAAATAAGTAAACAAAACCAAACGTGTTTAGATTTACGATAGATTATAGTTATTGGATGAGACAAAAAAAGTAATTTTATTAGAATTTTGAATCAAACCCTAAATCATAAAAATTAAATTTATGCTAGGCTTACAAATTTATTACTAACCCTCTTACAAACTAAAACTGTTACTGATTGTTGAGATTTTTTAAAAGTATAGCAAAGACAAAGAAGAAGACGACGAAACGAAATGGCAAAATGTTAAGACATTTGTTTGACTAGTTCTAGACATAGAGTTTTAATTAGAATCACAAGCATGAATTATCATGAGAAGAAGAGAAACAAGGTGTATGTAAATATAAATACGAGGGTAGATCAGCCGCATCCTGTGGAAGGGATTTTTTCATAGAAAAAAATTATTCTTTAAAAATCCAATATATAATTTTTTTTCTATAGAAAAAAATTCCTCAGGTCCCCTGAGGAAGACTTTTTTCTATAGAAAAAAATTCCTCAGGTCCACTGAGGAAGACTTTTTTCTATAGAAAAAAATTCCTCAGTCCCCCGAGGAAGACTTTTTTCTATAGAAAAAAATTCCTCAGGTGCCCCTGAGGAAGACTTTTTTCTATAGAAAAAAATTCCTCAGGTCCACTGAGGAAGACTTTTTCTACAGAAAAAAATTCCTCAGGTCCCCTGAGGAAGACTTTTTCTACAGAAAAAAATTCCTCAGGTCCCCTGAGGAAGACTTTTTTCTATAGAAAAAACTTCCTACAGAAAAAAAATCCTCAGGTCCCCTGAGGAAGACATTTTTTTGATAGAAAAAAATTCCTCAGTCCCCGCCTGAGGAAGACTTTTTTCTATAGAAAAAAATTCCTCAGGTCCCCTGAGGAAAAATTCCTCAGGTCCCCTGAGGAAGACTTTTTCTACAGAAAAAAATTCCTCAGGTCCCCTGAGGAAGACTTTTTTCTATAGAAAAAACTTCCTACAGAAAAAAAATCCTCAGGTCCCCTGAGGAAGACATTTTTTTGATAGAAAAAAATTCCTCAGTCCCCGCCTGAGGAAGACTTTTTTCTATAGAAAAAAATTCCTCAGGTCCCCTGAGGAAGACTTTTTTCTATAGAAAAAAATTCCTCAGGTCCCCTGAGGAAGACTTTTTTCTATAGAAAAAAATTCCTCAGGTCCCCTGAGGAAGACTTTTTTCTATAGAAAAAAATTCCTCAGGTCCCCTGAGGAAGACTTTTTTCTATAGAAAAAAATTCCTCAGGTCTCCTGAGGAAGACTTTTTTCTATAGAAAAAAATTCCTCAGGTCCCCTGAGGAAGACTTTTTTCTATAGAAAAAAATTCCTCAGGTCCCTGAGGAAGACTTTTTTCTATAGAAAAAAATTCCTCAGGTCCCCTGAGGAAGACTTTTTTCTATAGAAAAAAATTCCTCAGGTCCCCTGAGGAAGACTTTTTTCTATAGAAAAAAATTCCTCAGGTCCCCTGAGGAAGACTTTTTTCTATAGAAAAAAATTCCTCAGGTACCCTGAGGAAGACTTTTTTCTATAGAAAATAATTCCTCAGGTACCCTGAGGAAGACTTTTTTCTATAGAAAAAAATTCCTCAGGCCGCCTGAGGAAGACTTTTTTCTATAGAAAAAAATTCCTC